TGTGCTTAATGAAGTGATATGGTTCAATAGAAATATACGAATAGAGAAAATTCAGGGGATAAGGAGAAGTGTATACATTGCTAAGGGAATGGTCAAAGTGAGCGATTTGTACGATTACGATAGACATCGAATGTTGTCTGCAAATGAGTTGGCATTAAAGTACGACTTACACCCATTACCATGTCAATCGTTGATTAGGACAATCCCCGAGAATTGGCGTGAACTGCTGAACGTAGAGGAGCCTATCACAAGGGTCAGAAATAAGGTCACGCAAGAACTATTAGAAACAAAGAAAGTAGTAAGATGGGCGTATCTGAAAATTATCAGAGAAAATCAGGCGAAGCCGATTGCATGCATTAAGTGGCAGGAAGAACTGGGGTTACCAGCAACTTATGATTGGGATAGAGCATTTAACTTTGTGTACGCAATTAGTGAAGATCGAAAGTTAAGATGGTTGCAATATCAGTGTTTACATCGTTTCTTACCCACGAATAAGCGTCTGTATATGTATGGCCTAATTGAAACAAACAAGTGTCGGAGTTGTCCAATGTATCAAGAATCTATTGGACATCTTTTTTGGCATTGTCAGGTAGTGGCGAGTTTCTGGCGTCAGTTGAAGGACAGATTCAGGGTAAGAGAGGAGCTGTCTCTACAACAGATAATATGCGGGGTCGAAGGCGAAGCTCACTTTGTTGATCGCTTAAATCTACTGATTTTGGTAGCCAAACAGTATATTTGGAATTGTAGAGTTAGTAACCGACCGGTAACCTTCCAGACCTTTATCAGCACGCTGCAACAGTACAGTCTTATGGAAAAGCATGTGGCGCAAATAAATGACAAAATGGATAGATATGATGCCCTGTGGAGGGTCACGAATGCCGTTATTAGTTGATCCGAACTGCTTACGTATGTCGTCACTTTTATTTGGGTTCGTTTGCTTATTTTTTTTCTTTTCTTTTTTGCTTTGTTTGGTTTTGTGTTTTGTGTTTTTTGTTAAAAGGTCTGTTAGTAAAGCTGTTAAAGGAAAAGGGCCACCTTCGTGAAATATGAAGATATCGTTGTTTTTCATTTTGACATTATTATTTTTCATTTTTTTTGTAAAACTGGTGCCAGAAGTGCACAATTCGCGAAAAAGTATTTAAAACTATTTAACATATTGGTACTATGTTGATACTCTCTACGGCACCTACTGTATGATGGCATAGCGATGACGTCACACTCAAGCCAATCAGCGCTCAGAAGACAGACTCGTCGGATTGTGTCAGATAAGCTGATTGGTTAAAGCTGAGCTGGTTGGAGCTGATTGGTAAAAAACCAAAGCCTCGCCGCGGGTGGCTGTATTGTCGGATAAGAACGCATTCCTGGGATAAGAACGCATTCCTGGCGTATTTTCTTTTAAAATTGCCGATAACTACGAATGGAGGCCGAAATCGGCCGTAAGGAGGTTGACAGATAGGTTTTCGGACACGGGCTACAAGATGGCTATCTCAGTTTCAATCCCCATGTTAAAGGTGGCCCTTTTCCTTTAAGCTATGTGTGTCATATTATGTTGTAATTTTGTATGTAATGTTTGTGTGTGTTTGTTTTGCGTGGTTAATGGTGGTCAAATGATCAAATAAATGGCTAGAAGTTGAAAAAAAAAATAGACGCAATTCCAATTGTAATGGTTCGTAGACCTTCCAGAGCACGGGTTTTTGGCAACGTAAAATGGCGCCTTGTCGGCTTCACCTGAATGGAGGTGGTTGCGGGTCCAGTTTTAAGGAAAAGGGCCACCTTCGTGAAATATGAAGATATCGTTGTTTTTCATTTTGACATTATTATTTTTCATTTTCTTTTTAAAACTGGTGCCAGAAGTGCACAATTCGCGAAAAAGTATTTAAAACTATTTAACATATTGGTACTATGTTGATACTCTCTACGGCACCTACTGTATGATGGCATAGCGATGACGTCACACTCAAGCCAGTCAGCGTTCAGAAGACAGACTCGTCGGATTGTGTCAGATAAGCTGATTGGTTAAAGCTGAGCTGGTTGGAGCTGATTGGTAAAAAACCAAAGCCTCGCCGCGGGTGGCTGTATTGTCGGATAAGAACGCATTCCTTGGATAAGAACGCATTCCTGGCGTATTTTCTTTTAAAATTGCCGATATCTACGAATGGAGGCCGAAATCGGCCGTAAGGAGGTAAACAAGTAGGTTTTCGGACACGGGCTACAAGATGGCTATCTCAGTTTCAATTCCCATGTTAAAGGTGGCCCTTTTCCTTTAATTATACGTCCGTGTGTCAAAATGAAAAACAACGATATCTTCATATTTCACGAAGGTGGCCCTTTTCCTTTAAAATCAATGCTTAAACATAGCAAAAATGAAAGGAAAGGGCATGTGTTTTTATCAGTTTTAACCTCTATGAATATTTAAGATAATGCACAAGAGCACAACAAATTTTGTGGGAATTTGTCACCTTGTATTTCATGGTTTGATTAGTACCTGTACCAAAAGCTCACCAAAATGTCCTCATTCCTCAATACCTGTATTGTATCTATTTTATGCTTCTTCATATCTATCAGGAAAAATATTTTTTGTTTCAATTTTATTTTACAATGTTCCATGCAACAGCACTAAAGAACCTAACCAAAGTTTTGCTTCAAAGGAAACTAACCACTTTTAGCATGGGGTTTTGAAGTGGAATACCTAGCAGTTTTGTACCTTGAGCTGAGACTAGCACAATTCTAAAGCTTTTACACTCCATCAATCACCCTAGCCAAGGATATAATGATTTTAGATCCCAAACCATTTCCTTACAGAGGAATGTGGTACCTTATGGAAGAGTGTAGTCACCTCTGGCATAGGCTAATTGACAGCCAATCAGCATACTGATACAGTTGGTTCCGTTTTGAACTATGCAATATGATTGGTCAACTAGTAATAAGCTTCTGCTGCCAGCTGCAAATCCTATTTAGCCTCTACTAGTGGTGTCAATCGGAACTTGAATCTTCGGAATTCCGATTTTGTCCAATGTCCAATTCGGAATTCGGTTGGACAGTGGCAGCAGGCTTTGGACAACTTTGGACAATCGCTTGCTACACCTCAACATTTTTAAAAAGTAATCGTGTTTAACATTGATTGGCTATTAGAAAGCTCAGCTTTCCATATGATTAGCACTTTTGAGCTGGTAACAGTGCATGAAAAGCAAATTAAATAACAGTGTTGAGTGTTAACTATTGCGTAGGTGTCGGAGACTCGGACATCTTTGGACAAATGGCTGGCTTGGACATTTTTGGACGGATATTCGACGTAAGCATTGGACATCGGACGGACTTTGGACAAAGGTTTTCTTAAATTGACACCACTAGCCTCTACCAAAGATGGAAAATAGTTCTTCCTATATAAAAATATCTTTAAAATTCATGTTCTTAGCATTTAACATTTTCTTTTCTGATCTGGATCATCTTAACCCTATTCCTGGCGGGCTCCGCCGGGACAAGAAACTGGCGGGGGGGCCGATTCGGCCCCCCCCCCCTGAGATCTCGAGAACGAAGCAAGATAGCGACAAGCGGTAAACGGCATCGGATACGCACGGCCAAGATCTACAATTTTTACTAAGGTCATTTTCAGGTCAGGTCAAAGATGACGTCACAGGGGTCAAAAAAGTCAAAATGGCGGCACTAGATATGGAGAGAGTTTTTCTCGAATAACTTTCGAATTAGTCAAGATAGGAACAAACTAAGGGCATCATCGTGATCCTCTCGTCAATCCGCATCGAATGATATATATGTTGACCTCGAAAGGTCAAGGTCAAAGGTTGACCTCAGGTCACGTGACCTCGAGGTCATCATGTATATCATTCGATGCGTCTTGACGAGCTGAACACAATGAGACCATCCACGCGTCTGTATCTTGTTCCTGTACGGAGTTATTGGCCAAAAACCTTTGGTGACCTTTGATGACGTCACATGACCTCACAGCTGCCCAACAGCAAAACAGACCTCAAGGTAGTGAAGGTTGATCGTATATGAAGTCATGTATGGTATATGGGGCCATTCCGACCCGTTTTAGTGGTAAAAACAGGGAGTTGATTTTTCCCCCATTGACTTATAATGGGGAGGTCGCGAAATTGACCTGACCTTAGGTCACCGATATCAAAATTCCGAGATATACAAATTGCACATACTGGTACCCTTACTAAACCCTGAAGAGAAGAAATTGATCGGTCAAAAACTCTAGCTCTGGCGTGATTGCAAACTTTTCTGAGGTAGCGTCACCAAACCGCCTCTGGTGACCTGACCTGAGGTCAGATCAACTCAAAATTTTCAGACATGTTGCATAGAAGCCTTTTAGGAAAAGTCAGAAAATTTGAGCTTCCTAGCTCAACGCGTTTGGGAGATATAACCAAAAAACCTCAGGGGGGGGCTCCTGAGGCCCCCCCCCCCCCGCCAGGAATAGGGTTAAGCATGAAATATCAAGCTGTAGCAAAGAGCTTATTTGGGGTAAGTCAAAGTTGTATATCTATTTTAATTGAAACAGCACAAATAAACCAACATGTGTCAGAATAAGTGAGAATATAAGAAAAATACTGTGGGAAGCCAATCGATCAATCGTGTCTACATGTTAAGGCTAATTTCAGATGGCTGCTGAGTACCAATATCAGCTACAGGATTGGGATAACCATGGTCCCTGATCAGACCGTCCCTAGCTGGACAATGTCCTAGTAGGGACTAAAATGATCGCCTTACAATAAAACCCACTAACCCACCTACTTTAATTTAGTTTTGACTGGGAGACAACCCAAACACATCTTTTTTGGCATTTTTTATCTGAAAAAGTTTGAATCAATAATGCTGGCAAGGCTTCAAGGAAAAAACTTTGAATCAATGGACACACAACCCATGGAAATTGATTATAGGGCACAAACAAATGATCTTTGCATGGATCCTTACATGGAATTTAAAATTACCTTCATTCACAAAGGATCACTGCAATACTGATCCTTCAACATCCTTACCTTTTCTGATCCCTTTTGTAATGAGCTTCTGCTGAAAACCATGAAAAAAGAATTTATCTCAGCCTTTTAAGCATCCAAAGCCAAAATCTTGATCGCAACCAGTGTTTACAGTTGAATTGAATTAGAATTCCATTTAAATTTCCTTCCACTCACACAACAAACAACGGACGACGGTGAAAACAGGGCGCCTGGGGCGATTTGATCAAGGTTCGTGAAATTTACACGTGACGTTTGGGATGTAGAAGGCCCACGGAGGGGGAGCAGTTCCAAATACCACGTGACTAATATGCCCTGCGGCGCCCTGTTTTCACCGGCGTCCCAAACAACAACTCAAACTCTCCACAAACAACAAATTTGGCGAATGCATCAAGGTTTGCCTTTTAGGGAAATCTAGATCCTTAAACAGCAGCTAAATTATAGAAAAACGCAGTGAATTAACCAGCTGACGCGCGCCAAGGTGTGAACAATGAACGCTGAACATTTAACAATTCAGATACTGCTAACGAATACAAATACAGCAGAAATGTGAGCCCTATTCTTTTTTTAAATGATCTATGTCAGTTATAGTGCTTTAAATTAAAGCACATTCAAAATAAGGTGCCAAAAAGCCAAAAGGCAACAGGCGTGCATATATGATTTTTGAATGGTCGTGGCGGCCAGGCCCCAGCCGAAAGACGTTGCCTCACATGGACTCATAAAACCTGCTGCCTGCTGGGGTCCCAAATGGGCCCTCCTGGTCTTTTTGCTTACCATTTCAGCTCATTTTTAGGCGGTCTAAAGATTAGGAGTCCATTCGAAGCCCATTAGCTTCGGCCGTCTCAAATGGGCCCCTAAATTCAAATGGGAGGGGCACGAGACTGTGCGCCCCCCCCCCCCTTGCCCATGGCAGGAAGCGTAGACTCGCCGAGCCCTCCAGCAGTAACGCACACTTGTAATGACAAATGGTAGCAAACTTCTCCCGAATTCGAGCGCTCAACTACTCATGCTACTCATGGACGGGGCCTGTATGTTTCGGGAACACAGGAAATCGTATCCAAGAAAGATACATGACCTCGATGGAAAATCTGCTCACCATAGAACTTCGCATCAATAAAACTATCACGTCATGTTTCTATGTATTTCGTATGCTATCCTTGCATAAAACGCAGACACATACTCGGAAAGGCGGTGCGCCGCGCTGACAAGTGCATGCCTTCTTCACGCACCGAGATCTGACTACCGGAAGCAGCGCGACTCCCTCCCACCTCCCAAAGTCCCCGCGGCGCCCGGCGGGCCGCTGCTCGCTCGGCACAGAACTAGCGACACACTACAACAGCAGGCAGCCGGACACCATCGCATCGTCAGGTCAGGTCAGGTCGGATCAAACGCTCGCGGAGTCGGTCGATCGCTGATGCTCGAACAACCACGCATCTGAGCTCGAACGGATGAAACTGGGTCATCTGAGCTCCCAGACGCGGGGCCACCCCGAGAACGGCCTCGCGACAACACACAGCGGCAGCGATCGAAGAAAAACGGCTAGCGACGCGGCCCGGCCACACATATGCGCCGAGCGCGTGGTGACGTGCTAAGAACCGCTCCGTTAACCGGTCACGACTATCTAAACTACACAATGATTTACATCCGATGTAACAGGGAATCGACGGTGAAAACGGGCACCGGCACCATCCCCGGTGCGCGGCCAGTCGCCCACGTGAGAAACGGCATCGAGATGATGAGAAACATGCAACTTCTGCTCAGTGTGGCCTGTCCCCCCCCCCCCCCCCGACAAGTTAAACGTCACTTCACCCCACGGTAATGTTATAACCTCCACGGCACTGTGCCTCGCACACGTCACCCACGTATTGTCCAAATCTCTTCGCTGCATGTCGCGGAAACGCACGTGACTCAGTTCACGTGCATCGCTGGCGTAACGCGCCGCCGTGTGTTCGTATTCCGCACTCAGTTCGCCGGTGACTGTTCAAGTCACTGTTCAAGTCACCCCGCCAGAGCCACGACTGTCTGTCTCCTCGGCCTCTCCAAAGCCGACATTGACCTCACTGTCCAGTGTCCACCCATCACGTGTAGCGCGGCCGGTCCGGCCCGGTCGCTCCGTGACGGGAGTTTGTACTGGGCGCTGCCGCCGAGCGGGCTCCGGCTGAGCGTGGCTTACAGCTGCACAGAGCTGAACTTGGGCCCCTGGGTGAGGATCAGGTCGGCGTAGGACGACTCCTGCTCCAGTTCCAGCACCCGTAGCTTCTTCAGCACCAGCGTCGTGTAGAACTTCTGCGCCACCTGTTGACAGACGGACAAACAGAGCGGTCAGCCACCGGCTCACTCGGTTGTCGGAACAGCTCGGAGAACGCGACAGGCCAGTGGGAGGCCATTGGTGAACAAAATGTAATTATAACCCAGTAACCTGAGAGGTTTTCATAACGCTCAATATTTCACTGGATGTTTGAGCAGTCTAATGCGACTGTCAAAAAACTGTACGTGAGATACGACACAAATATTACGGTGTGACAAAGAACCATTAGTCTGACAGCGAGCGTTTAGCAGGCTGCTGACGTTTGCGTTTGTAACGCCAAAAAGATGCATGAAATGAACAAGAAAACAAGTAAAAACATAACACACAAGAGACGAAAACGGGCAAACTTCGCATCTACTTCGCGGCTGCTAGACTTTCGCGGAACGCCGCTAACCAGTCTAATAGCATGACCAACATCATTTCCATTTTCTGTCGTGGCAACGCTTTTCGTTCAAGCCCCCGCGGGCCCAAACGAGAATCTCTCCTCGTACATCACATCCGTAGCGGCGATTTGTTCGTGGCTGGAATATATAATCACGGCCATCCAGGGCTGGCCGGGGGCAGATATAGTATGGGGACAATCGCGCCGGGACGGAGCTGGAAATCTCCGCCGAGCGGCAAATCGGCCGGCAGTGGTCCAGCTGTCCATATTTTGGCAATCTCCGGCTGGTGCAGGGCCCGGCTGACGAGCCTCATCACTCACAATGGTCCCAAATGAAACCATTGAAGATATGGAACTCCCGCAACCCAAAGCTTCACTACAAGCTGCGGACTGTAAAATGTCTGAAGCAGCCGCGACCATCTCATTAAGGAAGATTTACGTAGAGCACAAACTCATTACAGTCAGTGGCATGATCCATGAAGCTAGTAAGAAAAGATATTTGCAAGTTCTAGCAAAAGCTGATATGGATATGTTTGGTTATAGTCTGCGGTTGTTATGGGCGAGATGGTCGCATCTGATAGGGCATTTTGGTGGTATCGAGCCACGCGGTCTGGGTATGTCCCCCTAGAGAAGTAGCTCAGGTTGGGATTTTCAATAGAAAATCACAATTCTAGAGAATAGTGATTGTCTTAATTGAAAAGTCCCAACCTTCGGATAGAGGGAAATAGGTGTCCAGCAGACCGCTGATTCCGTTGATTATTTCAGCGCTGCTCGTTAGCCATTTCAGAGCGAACTGCGAACGTAACACTTAATTTGACGATTTGCTCCAGTTCGGTACATAATGATGGGAGCAATCTGACGATGGCAGTCAAATGATGAATACTTTCAGCCTTTTAATGAAAACGAAGAGATTTAATTTGCAGGACGCCCGACTTAGCATCGCCGCAGAGCCGACGAAGAGACTTGCTGCTCGCGTATGTAGAAGATGTCGTAAGAAGCGTTGGGTAAATCATTGGAAATATCTGTAATTATACTGTCCCATTTCCTTCGCCTAGTGCCATCAATCAATACCACAGGCACTGCCTAATATCTGACCTGTTTTCTGTTGTTGCGGCGGCAGAGGTCACTGAAGACCAGCCTGTCGCTGGTCTCAAACTTGGACTTCATGATGCGGTGCATGACGGCGGCTCGCTTGTTGTTGACGCGGTCCTCGTACTGTTCGTACGTCTCGCCCTCCTGCTGGCCGTCATCCGGCTGTGGAGAGGGACAGGTGTTAGTCGTGGGGGCAACGAGGTAACGGGTGCAGAACGGGTGCAGTGGATGGGCTGCTTCAGACACACTTTGTGACTTTAGGGCAAAACTGTAAGCTGGCGTTAAAGCAAAAGTAATCGTTTTTTTAGGACAGAGCCGTCAGTCAGCGTTTGAACCGTAAATAAAGTAATAATCAGACATCCGATTGCGAATGAATTCAAACTCAGCTGTAACAACGTTAGCACAAACATAGCCCAGGCAATGACAATAATTGTGTGTATGAAAGAGCATACGAACTCAAACTTGGTCAAACGATTCGAGCTGTAACGGCAACAGTTTTGGCCTAATAAATTATCAGACACCAAAAATAGTCCCAGGAAAATCACAAACCCCTGAGACCATCGTCTGCCACCAGACTGATGCCCCATAGCCAGGTTACCTCGCCACTGCGCGTGCCCCGACTGACCTGTACGGAGGCCTGCTCCTGCAGCTCCTCCTCCCAGGGAGTGGCCGGCCCGTTGCTGTAGACGCTGAGCGGGCCGCGGTCGGACACGGCGCCCGGCGTCACCGGCGGAGCGATGTTCTCGTCGTAGCCCATGTTGGCCAGGTGGCCGGACGGCTCCTGTTGGTCGTAGCCCATGTTCTCCATGCGCGGGATGGGCGGCGGCTGTTCGGTGATGGGCGGCTCGACGGCCGCCTGCGCCGTCATCACGCTCTCGGGCTGCTCGGCCGGCACGGGTGCCGGGGTGGCCGCCGCAGTCAGTGCCACGGCCGGTGGCTCGGGCGCCGCCTCCTCCGGCGCCGGCGGCGGCGGGGGCGGCTCCGCTGCCGCCGCCGCTGCCTCCGCGGCCGCCTGAGCTGCTGCCGCCGCAGCCTGCGCCTCCGCCGCCGCCGCCTCAGCGGCCGCCTGCTGCTGCTGCTGGAGCTGCTGCTGGTGCTGGAGCTGCTCGTGCTCCATCGCTGCCATCTCTTCCTCCGGCTCCGGCTCGCGCTTCCTCTTGCCCTGGCGTCCGCGGGTGGCGGCGCCGCGCGCCGGCGCCTGCCGCTCGGGCTGCGGTTCCTCCTCGTCGGGCGCGCCGGCCGCCTCGTCACCGTCCTCGTCCGCCACGGGGCGCGACGTCAGGTGTCTCATGTACATCCGGCTGAGTCCCGAGGCCGGGATGGTGCGGCCCGGCAGCGCGAACAGCTTCTCCACGCCGCCCGTCTCCTTCCAGTGCATGAGCCGCTTGGTGGGCGGCGCCAGGTCCAGCGAGGTGACGATGTCGGCCGTGTCAGACAGCTGCGTCTTCATCTCCTCGCCAGAGATGTTCTTCACCTCGTCCACGATCAGCTTCCGCTTCCGCTTACTGCGGGTCACACCGGCTGGAAGGAAAGAACAGTGTTAGAACGCACTTCATAACATAACAATCCATCGACTGACATTGCAATGACAATGCATTTAGAATGAAATTTCAACAACAATGAAATTTAGTTACTTAGGGAATAAGAATAAGGATTTGCACGACCGTCCGACTAATTAGTCACATCACGCCGTATTCTTTAACAGCTCGATCACAACAAGCAATGGCCCTAACAAAATATATTTATCGCCCTAAGCATCACGCTGCGCCGTCGACAAGATGTGACATTTGAAGGTTTGGCACCTCTGAACCACCGCCGTGTCCACGCTCCCCGACCCACGGCGAGTCCCTCACCTCTAATGGCACTGGTGTACACTGCTGGCAGAAGGCCCGAGTACCCTCTAAGCCACTGTCTCCCCACCCTTCTTCCTATTATGACCGGTCGCCTCTCACCTCTGATGGCACTGGCGTCCACGGGCGGCAGAAGGCCCCACTCTGCCCCCACCCCTCCCCCTATGACCAGTCGCTGGTCGTCGGTCGCGTCTGTCTCTCACCTCTGATGGCGCTGGCGTCCACGGGCGGCGGATGGCTACCAGCTCCTGACCACTACCTAGCTGCCCCTCCCGGCTCCCCCTATCTACGAGTATGGCCAGTCGTTGGTCAGTGGTTACTCAGGTCGGCGTCTCTCACCTCTGATGGCGCTGGCGTCCACGGGCGGCAGCGCGAACGTCTCCTCCTCGTTCTGCAGCAGCGTGGTCTGGTCGTGCGCCGGCGGCTCCATCTCCGGCTCGGCCGGCGCCGGCGGCGGCGGCGGCGGCTCGACGGGAGCGTCCGGCCCGGCCGCCGGCTCGGTCAGTGGCGCCGCGGTGACGGCGGTCTCTGCGGGCGGCGCGGCGGCGGCCGCCGGGGAGGCCGGCCGCGAGTCGTCTGAACTGTGACCACCGCCCATCGGACTGGCGTCCATGTGGTGGTCGAAGTCGTCGTCAGAGTGGTGGTCGTCGAGCGCCGGAGGTGCCGGGGAGTCGGCCGGCGGCGGCGGCGCCGGCGGAGCGCTGGCCATCGGAGGGTCGTCGAACAGGCCACCGTCGAAGAGGCCGCCCGCTGCCGGAGGCGGGAGTGTCTCAGAGGAGCTGCGGGTACTATAGCATGGTTCGACGGCAAAATGGTGTTGAAACCAGTTAAGAAGAGCAGCCATGTGGAAAGGCAAAAACAAGTAAAACAAATTATTTACGTTTCAGCATGTTCTTTTGTACTTCATGCCCGCCTTTCCCTGCCAAATCAACCTTAAGCTCCGAACGGTGACATCCTGCCCAAGTATCGCTCACCCCTTTTAGGTAAGTACTAAGTCTCAAAGCCCTAATCATGATAGTATGATCGAGTTCCCATCCCATCCCCCTGGTCGCCTACACATGATGTCCTGTTCCCATCCCCATCACCTACCCATGATGTCCTGGCCGAGGTTGCCCCCGAAGCCGTCATCCCGGATGGGTGCGTCCAGCTCGAGGGCCGCCGGGGTCTGTTTGGAGGTGGACTGCTGGCTGGTCTCGCCGGGCGCCGGCGCCGCCTCCGGCTTGGGCGCGTTGCTGCCGTCAAACAGCAGGTTCTGCCGACAGAGGGTGCATCGTAAATGAACGTAATGGGGAGGTGTTGAATAAATTACAGACGAGGTGAAGTAGAAAAGCCGATCAGAATGTCGCTCAAAGGCTAAACAGTTCGTACGATTAACAAAACCGCGTCAACCATTGGTGACAGGCGGGAAACACATATTGTTGAATGCGTTGATCCGTGAAAAGAAGAGAAATCAGACATCCACAAACAAACGACCGTGGTACATGTACCCAAGTCTCTGCGAACATCAAAACAGGCCTAGGATACCTATTCAGTGAACACATTAATAAAACAACATGATTGGGATAACATCCATCGAATCTTGATTCATATAGCTCTACAGAATTCCTCTAAAGTACCGTAAACTGGGGTGGCTTTGAACTTCCAGGTGACTTTTAACGCCGTTCACTTCTTAGAGGGAATCACAAATATCTTAAAAATGTGAATTATAAATGCAGCCATGTTTTTTTACAGATAAGAATGCACATTTTTTGAAAATGTACATGACATATTGGAAGATTTGTACCTTAGTACATAGGAGTAAAAAATCAAGAACTAAATCAATGTTTTTAGCTTTTTGAGATATACCCGTAAACTTCCATATGTCATGGACTAGTCATTATGGTCATGGAACGGAATGACATATTTTTGCCATCCTCGATGGTTGGCTTATATTGCCCCATCAATTTTTTTTAGCTTGCTTGAGCATGGCCAGTGCTGTGAAGGGATTTGTAAAAGCATGACATTTTTGGAACTTCGCTGGGGTGACTTTGAACGTGTTCAATGTAGCCCCGGTGACATGCATGCCTGACTTGTTGTTCAAAAGACTTGTTGTTCAAAGTAACACTACCAAAATACACTGCATACATTTTGCGCTACAAACTTGTGCCATATCTCGGCTCCAGTCACCTGGCGTCCTCTATCTTAGGGTTGCCGCAGTTGCTGGTACCTCCGGCAGTTGCTGGTACATTCTACCTGGTCAGGTTCGTGACAAAGGCAAAATATGGGTGCAAGATGTATATAGCAATGTTTGTGAGCACTGACGATGGCGTAGAAATGGATTTCATGAGGAAATCCTCAGGAGGCAGCTTCTTTTGGCCAGAGAATCAAGATAGGGGTGTAACAGAGATCGACCAGCTGGTGTGCAAGCTAAGCCAGCCTGACATGGACAGGAGGGGCAGGCTCCACTTCAAGAGTGAGGAACTCTCACCATACAAACTGATGCTGGGGTAAACTCATGACTGACGTGTTCTGACGCTAGCAGGTGTACCTAGTGTTAAGTGTTAGTATTAAGGTGTTAAGTCGGGTGTCAAGTGTTAACTGTGTCCAAGGATACTCTGTACTCAGGTGTTCTCAGGTGTATTTCATGCACAGACCTAGTCGAGTGCATGCATTACACTTGAGTTGAGTTGAATCGAGTGATTTCATATCTTGTGAGTGTTGCTCCACAGTGCCTATGCAAGTGTTAAAGGTAGACTGCCACCTTTTTTTCCACAAAACGGTTTTCACTAGAGCTGAGCCACCTATGTCCCAGACCGAAGTCGGTTTTCCGAAATTCGAACCCGTTTGCGAGAAATCGGAGACCAAAGTTCAGTTTGATGCCATTTTTTTAGTCCAAGAAAACCGACATCTCTACTGTTTATCGATAACTTTGAAACATGAATTTTCTTATCTTTTGGTAAATATATGTTAAAACTTTGATTGTTTCGAGATCAGAGAAGAATTTTGGAGTGTCAAAATAAAAGTTAAACTTATATATTCAGTAGTTCATTTTTTCCAAAAAAAAGTGTGGGAAATGGGGTTTAACATGGGCCAGACCCATTCCAAATGAGCCATGATTTTTAAATGTTTTACGAGCTTAAATGCAAAATAAATTAAACATGGCCAATTTCTTATGAAATCATATATTAGTAAATCATAAAATACCTTACTTTTTCAAATAAAATGTAATAATCTTATGACTTTGAAGTCTAGTGATGTGTAAACATTGTCGCTAGACATTAACCGATTGATAAATGTATGATAATCGACAATTTTCTTCGCGATTTACGTGATGATACTTTGTCAGGTGAATTCTAAAATTTTGTTTTGTCCAGGGAATAAATCATAGGCCGATCTGAGAAAACTTTTTGAAGGTGGCAGTCTTCCTTTAAGGTGAGTAAGTAAGGTGTTTTCCATGAAAGATGCTTCTTTTTACTCACTGTGTGTGTGCTAATTTCTGTGAATATGGTGTTTGATTCATCAGCAGAGGCTGTTACAAGAAGTTGTGTTTTTTGCTTGATGAGCTCGCCTTGTTTTGACTACTACCCCAAGAAGGACTTTTGCAGGTATCAATTGTTTTTTGCCTCTTTTTTAAAAAGCATCAGGGTGTTGAAAGCCACCCCAACCGGCACGAGGAATTGCACACCTAATGAGATAAATGATGAAAAACACTGTTCCAAAGTCACCCCATTGCGTGGTGACTTTGAACACCATATATTTTTTTAAATAGGAAAATGGCTATACCTAATTTTTTGTTGACACCATGGATGGATAAGGCCAGACTCAGCCCACAACATGTCCATGTTTCACATTTCTATCTACAGTAGTTTTCAAGATATTCACCGATAAGTCTCAAAACTGTCCAAAGTCTTAATACGTTTTACGACTAAAAAGACACTTATTTACAACACACACTTTTCACATCATAGCTGATAGCACACATATGCTCAAACTCTTCCCTCCAACGTCAAACCCGCCCTACCCCTGGGCCGGACCAGAGCGCCCCGACTCACCGTGTTCTCCAGAGTGGGCTCGAGCGAGTTGGCGTCTCGCATCAGCTCGACGGGCGGCTCGGCGTCGAAGCCCATGTCGCCGAAGCCGTCGTCGCCGGTCACGAGCGAGATGTTACCGTAGTCCTCTCGCATCGTGATCTCCTCCGCCCTGGACTGGTTGAACGAGAACTGCGCCTGGATGTCCACGTCACTGAAAACGCGGAGCAGTTAGGAATAACTATGTGATAACCCGCGAGTTGCTGGGGGGGGGGGGGCGTTAAACGCCCCCACTTTTTTTTCGCCGGGCCATAGCATAAAAACGGCGCGCCAAATTTTGGGTACCTGTAGACAATTGATTGATGTGTGTTGTGACAAAGTTTCAAAAAAAAAAAAATCGGTCGGAAAATTTTTGAGATATCGAGGTTTTAGTGACGTCATGATTTCTGAGTTTTCGACCAAAAACGGCATATGTTCAAAAATCACATAAAATCACAGAATAGACATACAGACATGCCGTAAACGCCATTAGACTGCCAATACCATGAACAATCAAATGGCTATCTTCGATTATTGATTATCGATCCGCATTTCGCAAAATCTTGAACTGAATCTTGGCAATTTCTCGTGACTACTTCACGACCATGATACATGTATTTCTTAAATTAAACTTTTTGAGCCAAACACGAACACATATGACAAAATGAATGTCACCATCGTGTTCTACGCCCCAAATTACCCATAAAACATGTGTCACAGGCTGCGAATATCAGTTTCGATTTTCGGGGATATGTGCCTACCCGGTTGACCTGACCTTGACCCTGGCCTATGCTTGACTGACCCCTACATGGAGCTGACACTCTTGTAGGCCGTATATGATGGATTGTGCACCGTTTGGACAGAGTTTATGACGAGAGGCGCCCATTGCGAAGTCCTGAAGTCCATGCTACTGAAAGCCCGATTTCAGGTGTTTGACCTGACCTTGACCCGACCTGTGACCTCAAAATTCAACTTTAAAGTACTCATCTGAAGCGTCTCGTTGCGTTCTTTCGTTTGCCGCCTCGTGCGTTTCGCTGCGCCTATTGGTTCTCGAGTTATCGGCTGGGGGCGTTTCACGCCCCCCCCCCCCCCAGCAAACGGTGGGTGGCGAAATACCCCAGCAACTGCCGGGATAATAAGCAATAAGGGGAAGGGCAAACAAGCTATTTTATGGAAACGTTTCATCACCCTTGTGACACAACATACCTAGTAAATATACCATGAGTGGAAAGAGTAAGCTAAATGGGAAAATGCTGAAAAAGACTGCTCCCAGTCCCAGAAAGCTTACTTGAGCTCTGGCATGGCCGTGTCGAAGTCGTGGAAGACCTCCGGGAGGGTGATGGCGTTGACGGCCGCCTCTCGTTTCTCCTCCGGCAGGTCCACCATGCCCGGCCGGAAGGCCATTTTGATCTTGACGAATGCTTCATTGCAGTCGGCCAGCAGGTACTTCTCCTTCTTGGAGTAGATGCGCACCACGCCCAACATGAGATGTCCAGTGGTCCGCAGGGCGAGCTTCACCTGGGGGCACGGAGACAGGTGATGATACAGGACTAGTGCAGATACACACAGACAGGCGATGCACTGGTAACAAGATAGGATGTTTGGTTATCAAATATGGGTAAAATGCGAGCTCAGTGTGATAATTTACGAGTATAACTATTACGGGCCAGCGAGATATGAGTCTTTTCAATCTAGCGGGGGAAAATATCAGCATGAGCGGCTCAGCCCGACCCGGCCGGCCTGTGATGCTTTTGAGAGATTTATATCTTTGCAATCGTACATCCGTTTGACGAGCAGTCCCCTCAGATGGCTAACCCCGTCCCTTCTAACCCAATATTGACGACTTTCGATGCATTTAGAAGACCGTCGCGGCACGTGCCACCTGTTAGGTCAGGGGTATTGAAACTGTTCAGCTTACATAGCGCTCTTGCGTTGATTTCTTCTGAACCATACATACGTTTGACAGACTGTCAGTGCTCTCTTGTCCCTCCCCATCCCTCCGTCCTACCCCAATGTCGACAATATTGATGCATTTCGGTGACCATTACGGCGTCGGCATGTGCTACGGACAAATCGAGGACGTCAAAATTGTTCTGCTTACAATGACTCAGTAATGGCTGTGCCGATTGTGCTGAAACTTTACCTAGCCATGAGCGCCAACCAAGCAACGCATTCCTATTTGTTATGGTTGGGGTGATAATGCACATCTGCAGTGCACAAGTGCACTTGCTCTCAAAACTGGTTGGGTTCATTGTGCTAAAAGTATGTATGCTGTTGGACAGAGTGCATGACTCACTATTGTGTTCACTTCTTATTCGTCCAAAAAGTGTTTTTCTGTTATATCAAATATCTAATACATACCTACACAAATGACAAAACCAAGACTTGATTTTCAACAAAATACTACAAGAAGTGGCAAAATATTCTGAAAAACTCCAATTAATTTATCATTATTTTCTTCAGGTGTTCAGGCACCTGAGCAATAAATTGCCAAGTAAAATATCCATAGGTACCTGTTTTCAGAAATATAATGAATGATAAAATGTAAACAGTATAACCTAACTCATGCACCATTGAAAAAGCAAAATGCAACAAGTGCAGCAATCAGACAAACAGCAGTTCATGACACAAACCTTTGGCTGTAGAATACCATCCACAGATTTCTCAATGTTTGTTTCAAACACATTGGCTTTGGTGAGTTTCTTGTCCCAATGGGCCGCCAGCCAAATCCTGGCCAGCGGGCCCTTCTTGTTGAGAACATACTGGGCATAAAACATGGCTCAACCTGAAAAGAAACACAAAATTCAAATGACATTACACTTTATAGCAAACCTTAGCCTCTTTCCTGTTCAAGAGCTCAAAGCTAGTTGAAAAGCTAAATGCATCTAAAAGAGATGTGATTTAAGCCTGGAATATTAAAATATTGGCGACAAATATTCAATCTTAATTTTATATGCACAATACAGCTATTCAATTAGCCATATCTAGTGCAAGATATTGAACTATAGCAGGACTTAAATTAGTCTTCAAGGACATTCAGAGGAACTTAGTTTGGCATTAGTAGATCAGACGTCACACGAAGGTTTTCCAACCAAGGAGAGGCGCTAGGTATAGGTTTGTAGGTTGTAGGGTAGGCTTGTAGGTTTGTAGGTTGTAGGTTTTTAGGTTGTAGATTTGTAGGTTAGGTTAGGTCAGGTTAGGTTAGGTTTATTTAGGTTTTGTTAGAAAGAAGTACCTCCAGGCATAGTGCCTCTCCTTGGTTGGAAAACCTCTGTGTGACGTCTGCTCTACCAATACCCTAAGTTTGTACTATCCCAATTCCCAATTGAGTTTTTAATGACTGGAATCAGATATACTATATAAATTCCATAGAACAGGTGCTCCAAAACACTGAAAATATTAAATACCTATTGTATATCATAAATTATCATCCATTTTGATTTCAGCATTTTTTTAGCTTCATGATATAATATGGTCCCATCATAAGGCTACAACACAGATATATCAAGTACTAACCACTTCTCACTCCTCTTATTGAAATGCACAGCATATTTTTTTGCTTCTAACTCAAGTTTTAGGTGAAAAATATGCCATGTACTCAAATGAGAGGAACGAGAAGCAATTTCCACACGACAGCTGTGTTTCAGCCAGTAAGGTTCACCAGGAGTTTAACAAGTTAATCATCATCATACCACTGATTCAATAGACTGTTTTCTGTTCTAACATATTACAACCCTTAGCAGATTACAACCCTATGCATCTAAGTCATGTCGGCATAAACCACCAACGACTCAAGTCTCAACTACACTAACTAACCAATCTCCTGGACAACATGACTACATGTTTATGATTTAAAACAGTAATGCTTCACCAGCACATACCTTTCTATGGATTGTCCAAATTCAAATTGAAATGAGATAAATACTTCAGTTATCACTTCACTTGTCAGACCGAGACTTAGGTCATTTTGAATAGGTACTTCAACCTCAGTAGGCGGAACTATGGTCATGAGTACCCAAATATAGGAACGTTCCCATTTTTGGGAACGGAGTTCCCAAATATGGGAACGGGCGTTCCCATTTATGAGAACGGAAGGCAATTTTTCGGCCGTTCGCCCACTAAAACTCATAAGTGCATCACGTGTCAAAAAAGTGCACGCTGATTTAAGTATCTACTAAATCTCCATAAAGTTATCTTTAATCTGACCGTGGAACAAGGAAATTGACCGTAGAATGATATTTTTAATGATTTTTTAAAAATGACGGAATGGTGGAAATATGGGTTATACGACATTTAACATGCAATTTTAAGGAAAATGAAGCATTTTTTAGTTTGAGGTAAAGTATAATAATTTTTGCCTGGTTATGAACTTTCATACTGTCGACACCAGATGCTGATAAATGCAAGCGAAGACGCGGACGGTCCCGAGGTAATATTGTTGACTTTTGGTGTCGGGGCGGACGACCGCGTGGAACGTGAGTGAATTTACCGAACTACTGTTGTAAACTCAGTTTAAGCGGTTGAAAATTATTCAGCTGTATTTTATTAACCCTGAAAGACATATTTTATTTGGATGCTAGCTGTTTAGCGTTGCTTTTAAGGAGCGTCATGAGCGTGGTTTTTGCCTTCGGTATTTTTAAGCACGATCGTTTTGGGGGAATTTCTTTTATGCAGGTCGCCCTGTGTGGCTTATTTATAATTTTCATGCTGATTTTGATCATTTCTCGTGCCCATCCTACCAGGCTTTTTGCCACTTGCACTCATTAAGAAAGGAAAAAAGTAGATTTATATTGGGACTAGGTGTTTTGAGAGTGAAACATTTCAGCGTTCCCATTTTTGGATACTTACTTGTGCTCGTCAACTATCGGTGATAAATAGACAGGTGCTTGACATGTCTCCACCCTCGGCGCGGACGGTGGATATAGGCATGGAAGACGTTGTTGAACATCGCTGAGCGTTGTGAATTACGTAATCCTGCAGAGGGGGGCGTGCCCGCTGCGAGATCGACGGGAATAAAAGCGCAGAAGACCGGGCGAAACATGCGACGGTCTAGCCGGAAAGGTCATCTGATGATTGTTGCGTTAACAATAATTTGCGGCGTTGGACGTGATGCTTGTTAATGAAAAGAGACCCTGAAAGGCGTCGGTGAAATCGTTCCCAATTTTGGGTACGCCGTTCCCATAATAGGGAACGCTTGCAGCGCCAGTGTACGAGAGCGTTCCCAAATTTGGGCTCGCGGCCCGGATGATGGACTGCTTTAGAAATAGGGGAACGATTAGAAACTACGATGGGCCTTACAATATCAAACTCTTTCCCAACAATATTGAGACAAATATCAGGCGGTTCACGATCGTTTTATATTTTTTGGACGTCATTTAACGGTTCTTTTTCTTGTTTTAAATAATGCCTACATGGCGTTCCCATATTTGGGTTTATCGTTCCCAAACATGGGAACGAAAATGCGTTCCCGAAAATGGGTACGCTTGACCATAGTTCCGCCTACTGACCTGTCAAAAGGTAATCTGCATTTTGCAATTAGCAGCAAATGCGGTGATTGTGGCACTTCTTCCTGAAAGATTAGTGGAGCGCCACGGCTGAGCCCAAGGCAAATATCAAATAATTGATCCAAAACAAGCTCTATATTCGCAAAACACACTCGCACAGACGTTCTCAAACAATAAACAGTAGTTTCGACAAATCTGACGCAGAGACGCCAAATAATAACGGCGCAAGTAGGGATACCAGATTTGGAACTAGACTAATTCCAAAAACTTAAAAGCCAACCTTTTTCTATTTTCCCTTATGATTTGCTTTCAACAAAATTTAACTTTTAATCTCTTTTTCTGTTTCATTTAACTGTTTTATTTTCAAAGCAAAATTTTCGCATTAAAATAATTAGCTTCTCATAAAAAGCTAGTAGATAATTTTTCCCGCGCGTTTTGGGTAGTATATTATGCATTATGCAAATACTGTGGCTTAGTGCCCTGATTATGGCATTTTACCCCGCGTTCGATGTCTCTCGGACGGCGAAGATTCTACGCCGTCCGGCCAATCACGTTCTATAACCGCAGCCGAGCCCCCGCTGACCTTGGACGGGATTGGCCGGACGACGTAGAATCTTCGTCGTCCGAGAGACATCGAACGCGGGGTTAAATTAGTTTGGTACCTTAGCATATTTTAGCAAAACTGAGCTAATGCATGATCCCACGGCACTTAGCACTAGCAGCGCCAACCGCGAGCGTTATAAATACGTATGCGGTTTTAGCTGTTTCGGTCCGTCCTCGGTCCTCGCCACCCTTAGGATTAACCTGGTGGGGTCTGTTTATAACGCGACCTGATGGGGGGGGGGCTATTTTTGCCCCCCCCCCCGTATCTCCGAAACTACTGGACGTATCCGCAAAATTCAAACGGCGTTCGAAAGCCCAGGGCTGGTAAAAAGCGCCGATTCGCTGATAATATCTATATCGGAGCCAGAACAATAGCTGTACAAGCTATTTAGGGAGCCAGAAATAAGCGTTTCAACGCAAGTATGCATGTGCAGGATAACTGTTAAGTTTTGTTTAATATTTTCATTTTATTTCTACGACAAACCTTTAAATACAAGATGCCTGAGCACAAATATATCCTATGGCAGCCATTCTATAACTCAGGAACTACTGGGCCGATCGTGACGAAAACACCACCAGTCGATTCAGCGTATGCGATTTCATCAGCCGTTTCGAATATGGTGACCTCAGGTGACCTCGGTGACCTTGGGAGGTCACATGACCAATGTGGCCTATGGCAGCCATTCTATAACTCAGGAACTACTGGGCCGATCGTGACGAAAACACCACCAGTCGATTCAGCGTATGCGGTTTCATCAGCCGTTTCGAATATAATGACCTCAGGCAGATCCTTGTGACAGCACAAGAAAAAAGTGAGCTCGCTCAGCTCAACTCCGTCTTATCCGCTCCCGCTCAGCTCCCGCTCAGTTTAACGCGGCTCAGCTCAGCTCACGTTCCGCTCAAACCGGCTGCGCTCCGCTCACGCTCAGCTCAGCTCAGCTCAGTTTCCGCTCAGCTCAGCTCAGCTCAGTTTCCGCTCAGCTCAGCTCAGCTCAGTTTCCGCTCAGCTCAGCTCAGTTTCCGCTCAGCTCAGTTCAGTTTCCGCTCAGCTCAGTTCAGCTCAGCTCAGTTTCCGCTCAGCTAAGCTCAGCTCAACTCAGTTCCCGTTCAGCTCAGCTCAGTTTCCGCTCAATTCAGCTCAGCTCAGTTTCCGCTCAGTTAAATTCAATGCCACCCATTGCCGAATGCCGAATGCCACCCATATCTCCGTAACGTGTCGGGGTCCGGCCAATGACGTCACGGCAATGCGTGTGCTGATTGGTCATGGACATCGAATCATCGGGACACAGGTCGGGACATCACGCCGCAGTGGATAAGGATACCTACCAACCGAACGGCTTACAACGGTGCGAACGGGGTGCAATAGAGGAATGTAGCGATTTCCCGACCGATCGCTTCAGTTTGCGGTGTCGAACTAGGTACATGGCCTTTCACCTAGTGACGTCTTTGGTTTGTATATAATATTATTTCCAGTTTATCATGTTTCTAGTGTTTATAGTGTATCAATATTCAATGCACATTGCATTCGGTTTTATATTTTTATCCGTTCTCATCATCTTCCAGTGTACCTACTAGAACTGGATCTCAGCTCAGCTCAGCTAAATCAGCTCAGCTCAATCGGCTCAGCTCAGCTCGCTCAGCTCAGCTCCGCTCAGCTCAGCTCAGCTCGCTCAGCTCAGCTCAGCTTAGCTCAATCAGCTCAGCTCAGCTCAATCAGCTCAGCTCAGCTCAGCTCAGCTCAGCTCAATCAGCTCAGCTCAGCTCAGCTCAGCTCAGCTCAGCTCAGCTAAGCTCAGCTCAAGCTCATTCAGCTCAGCTCAGACAGCAGCTCAGCTCAATGCATTACTGAGCCGGCTCAGCTCACAGCTCAACAATTTGGCAAAATGTTGAGCCGGCTCATGAGCTGAGCTGATTTTTGAGCGGGCTCAACTGAGCTGATCACAAGTCTGACCTCAGGTGACCTCGGTGACCTTGGGAGGTCACATGACCGTTGTGGCCTATGGCAGGCGCAGCCATTCTATAACTCAGGAACTACTGGGCCGATCGCGAAGAAAACACCACCAGTCGAATCATCGTATGCGATTTCATCAGCTGCTTCGGATATGGTGACCTCAGGTGACCTCGGTGACCTCAAAAGGTCAACTTTACGTTTTCGCCTATTGCAGCCATTCTATAACTCAGGAACTACTAGGCCGATTGTGACGAAAACACCACCAGTCGATTCAGCGTATGCGATTTCATCAGCCGTTTCGAATATGGTGACCTCAGGTGACCTCGGTGACCTTGGGAGGTCACATGACCAATGTGGCCTATGGCAGCCATTCTATAACTCAGGAACTACTGGGCCGATCGTGACGAAAACACCACCAGTCGATTCAGCGTATGCGGTTTCATCAGCCGTTTCGAACATAATGACCTCAGGTGACCTCGGTGACCTTGGGAGGTCACATGACCGTTGTGGCCTATGGCAGGCGCAGCCATTCTATAACTCAGGAACTACTGGGCCGATCGCGAAGAAAACACCACCAGTCGAATCATCGTATGCGATTTCATCAGCTGTTTCGAATATGGTGACCTCAGGTGACCTCGGTGACCTCAAAAGGTCAACTTTACGTTTTCGCCTATTGCAGCCATTCTATAACTCAGGAACTACTGGGCCGATCGTGACGAAAACACCACCAGTCGATTCAGCGTATGCGATCTCATCAGCCGTTTCGAATATGGTGACCTCAGGTGACCTCGGTGACCTTGGGAGGTCACATGACCGTTGTGGCCTATGACAGCCATTCTATAACCCAGTAAACATGACGACGTCGGCCCGAGGCTCGGCCCGACGTCGGCCCAAGGTCGGTTCCACCTCGGCCCGACATCGGCTGGACGTCGGATATGCCCGCATGTTCCGACGTCCAGCCGAAGTCCAGCCGACGTCGAGCCGACGTCCGGCCGAGATCGTTTGCCGAGGTTGACGAGATCGTTTGTCGTTGGACCGACGGGACCGACATCGGCATGTTTATTGGGACAACGCGCCAAAAATATCAACCGGCGGCGGGATTCGAGCCCCCCAGTCGCCGACGTCGGCATGTTTAGGGGAGAGTGGGGTAATTTGGCCGCTTTTTTTAGAAAACGATAGGTATAACTTAAAATTGACAACACATTTCTGCATTTTCTCAACGCTGGCAGGTGTCGCATTCATTTTACTTTACTGGACAGTGAACTTGAAATGATAGAGTAATTACTTATATTGAAATTGTGACGTATTGCAAAGGTCTGCAAGGCGGCCAAATTGCCCCACTAGCAGGGTTATTTGGCCGGGGGTGTGGGGCAATTTGGCCGGTGTTAGTTTGCGGTCGGGATTTTCTGTTATATTGCGAGTCAGCTTCAGATTCAGCAATGACGTGTGTCCTATGACGCATTTGCCGCATTTTGGAGGTTGGCTCAGGTGTCACAGGGGTCAAAATAGCCAAATTAGCGGCTCTAGAGGCGATCACAGTTTTTTACGAATAACTTTTGAAGTAATGAAGCTAGGCCAAAACTTCGAGTACCATCGTAATTCTCTCGTCAGTCCGCATCGAAATATATATGTGTTGACCTTGAGAAGTCAAGGTCAAAGGTTGACCTCAGGTCACGTTGCATCAGGTCGCTTGACCTCAAGGTCATGTGATTTCAAGGTCATCATGCATATCATTCGATGTGCCTTGGCGAGCTGAACAGAATGAGACCATTTGTGCGGCTGTACCATTTTTATGTAAGGATTTATTAGCAGAAAACGTTTGGTAACCTTTGATGACGTCACATGCTCTTACAGTTGACCAATCGGAAGTAGTAGCAGTCAAAGTTGGTCATGAATCATGTCATTTATGGTACAATTGACCATGAAAACTCGGCTGTCCCAGCATAGTGACCATGAACGCACCGGCCAAGTTGCCCCGCTAGTCCCGGCCAAATTACCCCATATTGCCATTCTGAAAATTTTTGTCTATAAAGTCATCACGGCTTTACGGAATTAGATGAAATTGCTCTTGGAACCGCTGAACACCCCCAAGAATGGCGCTATAATGTCTGAATTCGTTTTTAGCCCAAATACTACATGTTATACAACTTTGTAAACAGAAGTAAAAGTTACCATTTTCTAATGAAATTAACGTTTTATTAATTTTAAATCAAACTACAAGGGGCAAAGTTTTGACATTTGTCCTCCAGTTATTTCTACCCATGACAAATGAGTAGAGACTAGAGTTATTTCACTCATTTTATTAGACATCGTACAGGTGGGGGCGGCCAATTTACACCACCGGCCAAATTACCCCACTCTCCCCTATCCATCCATGTCAGATTAGCTTCTGCATAGGGGTTTCAATAGTTTTCACAGCTTCGCACCCTGGGCGTGTTATTTGTGGTAACAAAATCACGAAGACTGTGCTCATATGAAAATGTCGGCTTCAACCATTTCAGTAATAGACATTTGTCAATTATGTGGGTGACTAATGACTTTCTAATGAGGTAATAAACCACCCAGCTTACCTTTATGCAGTCTCTATGTTTCTTGGGACCCGGTCTCACCGCGGGATCTTCAGCAGCTGTCACAGAGTGCAAACTCAATTGGTGTTGATTTTGTTTGATTTTGAGTTTCTTACATTACGCAAATTTCCTCAAGAGTGAAAAAGTTACACTTGTCCCAGAACGCGCTCAACGTTCACAATGCATCCATATAAAGTATAAACGTGCCCTAGTTCACAGCCCACCTCCAGATTTATCCACACAAACGTGCCCTAGTTCACAGCCTACCTCCAGATATATCCACATAAACGTGCCCTAGTTCGTAGCCCTACCTCCGTTTACGCAGAAGTCACACCCGTACTTGTCCAAAGTCTCGAGGGTGGTAACGTAAGGAGCGGCTTCCACTACCTCGTCGACCCATTTGATGGCGCGCACCATTTTGTATCTGGTGACACGGTCGGGGTGGGTCAGGACGTGGTTAGGGAGAAATACCGTCACATATTTCTCCCTAACGGTATTTCATAATGTTTTGACGGTACTTATATTCACTGTGGGTATTTCATGCCACCCCCCGGGGGCGAAGGGCGTGAAATACCGTCGGATCATCCCATAGACACCATGGCGAACACCATGGCGATATCGGGATAAAACACCGTTACGGCACATAAATAATACATGTGATGCAGTGCGCTACTCGTTTCGCTCTGTAGGGTTACCGGAAACATGAATCATTTGACGGCCTACATTCCACTTAGAGTTATGTTTTATGGATCTCAAAATAAACCCACCCATAAAAAATACCGCAATTTGAAACAGAGTTTACTTATTTACAGGTATGCGCAAATCTAAAAAACAGCAATTTTCTTTTGTTTGTGCTTAACAGTTAACACAGTCATGCTTCACTCCATTTCGGGAAGAGAGCCAGCACTCAGGCATCCTGAGAGGCACTCAAGGCTCACCCCCTACAACCCTTACCATTCGCCCCTCCCTCACCTGCGCTTACCGCCATCTCCCGTGGTGTCACTGACCGTTCCTCCTCGGTGAACACGGGCGGCCCCTTGTGCTCGGTGACCTCTGCGTCACTGTGCACTCCCACCATCAGGTAGTCGCCCATGGCTTTGGCCTGGCGCAACGAGTTGGCGTGACCAAAGTGCACCATGTCGTAGCTGCGGGAGAGATGCTCGACAGCGCTGCATTTCAGTACTGTGGACGAATATTGACAATAGCTTATGCATCGTGATTGACTGTCCCGTCTGCAACTAATTCGAATAAGGTGTGGCTGTTGGTGCAATTTGCCCCGCGGCCCGCACCAGAGCTGCCCCTGGTATATGCTGTGCCTCGTCGCCTCATTTCATAATTTGTATTCAGTGTGGCAGTGCATGATTGATGTTGTAGATACCTTTTAGGTACCTTAGGTACCTTCATGTAAGATGTCGGGCTTTTCATTGTTGAAATGTGACGGAGACAGCGTTGGTGTTCACACAGCTGTTCTTGGAGTCTTGCTGGACCTCCCCCGTACCCCGCCCCCTTCCCAATACCCCGGTGTAGGTCTGGGGCCCCACTGATGGACTTGTGTTGATATCATAGGAGAGTCACTGCCCTTATCCTAGTCCAGTATTTATTGTAGGGGGATTGAAATACACGCAGTCCCTACGAGTTACAAAATCTGGTGTGTGTACTGCGTCTCGAGGGCATATATGATCGGAATGATCGTGTTCAGAATTGTTACGGAGCGAGCGAAGCGAGCGTAGTCTTTCCTTAGATTAACGGAAATTTCTGAGTATGAGCGGCCGGCCGGCCGGCCGGCCGTGGTCACGCTTTTGCGACGCTTATATCTCAGCAACCACTTGACCGATTTACATGCGGTAATTTTTATAGGGTAGCTTCATTCCTTCTACCAAGTATTGGACTATTCCCGATGCATGTGGGTGACCCCTTATGCACGTGCCACGTGCAAAACGAAGAGGTGTCACTTTTGCAATTGTTGCAATATCTCGGTAACTACTGGGCCGATTGCGCTGAGAGTTGGCATGTAGGTAGGCACCCACTAGGCAATGCATATCCATGTGCCAGAGTTGGGGTGCTGCTGCACGTGCGCACGTGCAGGGGTCGTTTCCAGATCTCGAGAACGGCTGGACCGATTGCGCTCAAATTTGGTACACGGTTACGGAGCAGTTAGTAGGGTGCCGTGCACAAGTCAGTTGGGACCCATCTTGCACGTGCGCACGTGCAGGGTGCCGCTTCCAGATCTCGAGAACGGCTGGGCCGATTGTGCCCAAATTTGGCACATCGCTAGAGACCAGTTAGTAGGGTGCCGTGCACAAGTCAGTTGGAGGTACCCCCTCGCAATTTCGCACGTGCAAGGCCCACCCTCTCGCTCGCTCCGTTAGTCGCCCCAAAAGGCGTTATACTGGTTAGCATATCGTGAACATTTTACCTATACCTATTTGTGCCATGTTCTAATGCCTGAACAATGCGATAAGTTATGTATCAAATCCTACGCGTCAATGGTGATTAATTATGAAACCTTCTGAAACAAAATATATATATTTTGATATGCATGTATTTGTTTGAATCAAAGATAAAAATAACAAATATAAGTATTAAAATAATAAACATATTTTGATGTATTGATCAAAATGTAGGTACACAAACTATATAGGTAGGTACATACAGTCTATATACACACATATTTACAGAAGTATTTACAGATCACAGCAGCAACTACCACACGGGGTAATACAAATGCACAAAATCACAAATACCAATAACTATGCCTACGCGTGTATGTAGGAACAACGTAATAATAGGGGAAGATGGGGGGAACACCGACCCCCTTAACCTTTTAGGGTCTAGTCACGTAATTTTTGGCCAAATGATCAATCTCTCAGCTACATCGGATTGTCGCATCAATTTTACATACATATCAACCAATTGTTTTCTTGTAGTTTCGTTCATAATTGCATTATTCCACATTTAGTAAATGTCTACATTTTTCGGGGTAACACCGACCGTTGGGTAGCACCGCCCGAGCTCAGCAGGCAACGAAATTTGATGATTGATGGTTAAGCTTTTCTTCTTATAGTAAATTTCGAGGCGTTTTAGTATATTTATAAAATACAGTGGAAACAATTTTGTTATACCTATCCCTGGTACAATGTAGTACTCATGTATATGTATGGACGACTAAAAGTCGCAAAATTTCATTTTCTCGAAATTTTTCATCATCCTCTAAAAAGAAAGCATAGCAACTACGTTCTTTCTTTATATGAAATGCGTCACTCCTGGGTTAAGTGTCACAATGTGCTATTCAATACCAAACTTCCCAAGTGGGCGGTGTTACCCAAGTGTCTGCATTTTTCTAAAAATTCCTTCAATATCGCAGCACGACAAAAATTTCGCTCGAGCAGGAGCACGAAACGTTCGGATGAGTCCTAATTGTGGCAAAAATGCCACTTCAGGACTATTGTCTGTCAAATAAGATAAGTTTTTTTCCTGCTAAGTATGCTAGAAAAAGTATAAAACGTATTGACGAAACGTAAAATTCGGAATTTTTCGCAAATCACCCAAACCAATGCGGTGCACTGCCCATACCTGCACTTCTGTTGACGTCACGCTGCCAGAAGACAGTTAGTTGCCGCCCTACACTGAAAAATAATGACACCTAAAAGGGGTGTTTTTTGAAGCGTACCAAAAACGCGCAGTTTTCTGGAGTCCGATTACACCCGGAATCAGACACTTTCTAGGGTATTATGACACTGGTTGAGGGTGTATTTTTACACCGTACGTCGTCGAATGATTCCCGGAATCATACGCCTTATGGAATAAAAATACACCCCAAATCAGAGTCATAGTACTCTAGGAAGTGTCTGATTCCGGGTGTAATCTGACTCCTGGAAACTGCGCGTTTTTGGTACGCTTCAAAAAACACCCCTTTTAGGTGTCACTTCCGGAAGTAATCGTATTTTGAGGGTGTATTTTGATCCCACACGGTGTATGATTCCGGGAATCATTTGACGACATGTGGTATAAAATACACTCCCAACCAGAATCAGATTACCTCGGGGGTGTCTGATTCCGGGTGTAATCGGACTCCTGGAAACTGCGCGTTTTTGGTACGCTTCAAAAAACACCCCTCGTAGGTGTCACCTCAACGGTGTCAAATGACTCTTGGGATGGTTTTTCTATACCGGTTCAGAGCCTGTTCCTACTTCCTGTTAGCGTCATACATCAGCTAATATCAATATTACCGGTACTATTGGTCTCTTATATGAGAAATACCGGTAATATTCGAGTGCGGGGATTGGGTTGTGTGCAGGGGTGAGCGATGCACTCGAACCGAGCTGCGGCGAGGGTATAAAGGGTATATGTATTCATCGCATCAGAAAAAAAAACAGGTCGCCTGGGCCCTTATCTTGAGACCAATACATAGTATGGTACAACTAACCAACATACCCATGGGTATGTTCTGCTTCTGAAGCTTATAGGAACGATTAGCCAGACTGCAACGAGACTTTAAATGTAGCTTACATGTGTCTTCACCCTTGCAGCTACAATTTTATCTATTGACGATGACGTCTTCTTTTCAATCAGTCTTTATACCAGATATTGTCAAATGATTCTCGGAATCATACACCTTATGGGATCAAAATACACTCTCCAACAGAGTTATAATTGCCGTTGTTAACCACGTGACGCAAATTAACAATACATGCATGTCATTCTTTATTTTATATGCAACAATAAATTCCAAAAAATTTGGGCACGAAATGTATGGCGAAGTCTAATGAAAACTTATCGTAAGGCGCATGGGTCCGTGACTCCATTCACCGTAAGGAATTACTCACATTTCAACAATGTTCCATCAACCGGTGATTATTGCTACTTACTTAGGTAGAGTTATTCTGCAGCTTAATGACATAAAAACTTACCTCCGTTTCCATAGTGCGTTGCAATCTTACTGTCCTCACTTCATAATTTCACCGAGTGCAGGGCGCCTCCTTATTTGAATACGTACAGAGCAAGTTACAAATAAAAACTGAACTTTATCGTTAATGCACTATCACTTGAAACAAAACTACACTTCAAACAACGTTTTGCGACATTACAAGCACGTAAATTCAAATAATTCCTGTCCTCACTCACACCTCACACACCACGTGGCACACCGCGCGCGCAACTGAAGTCCAACGGCTTTCTAACGGTTTTCCTCAAGGTCGCACTATTTCGTCTTCGTGGTGGACCGACTAACACAAATGACGTCACAAGACAATGCAGCCTGCTGATTGGCCTATTTCATCTTCGTGGCGGACCAGCAGCACACACATGACGTCACTCGGGGCATTGACTCAAATCACTGAACCTAAACCAGGGTTATGGAGTCAGAGTCGGAGTCCGTTGGAGTCGACATTTCTGCTGGCCGTAGTCGGAGTCGGTTGGAAACGACAGTTCTGGCCGTAGTCGGAGTCGGAGTCGATATTGGAAGCCGGAGCTGGATTCGGAATCTGATTCACCGAAAATCTCTTGATTCTGCAGTGTTGATTCCTACCACCAGTGACGTCAAAACAACTTCTGTAATAATGTAGTGTTTTTTGATAATATCATGTGGAGTTTTTGAGCCCTATGGGTGTCATTTCACTCATTTGAGCGTTTTCGTAATCCGTGACTCGCTTATTAGGTGTAATTTGACCCTCAGTGGTGCCATAATATTCCGGTGTCATTTGAACCCAATGGGGCTAAAATGACACCGGAATATTATGACACTACCGAGGGTCAAATTACACTCAATAAGTCATTTGAACGGAATATTATGACACCACTGAGGATCAAATTACACCTAATAAGGGAGTCACGGATTGCGAAAACGCTCAACTGTGTGAAATGACACCTATAGGATATAAAAGCTCCTCATGATAGCGTCAAAAACCCTTAGATGTGTCATTTTACACTGACACCGTGCAGGATCTTTTGACACGACACCTAAAATGGGAGTCAAAATTTTGGGAGTCAAATGACCCTTGGGTATGTGATTCTGACCGAGATCAATTTACACTAAAAAACGGTGTATGGACACTGTTTTTCAGAATCGGATTACACCATGGGTGTCAGGTGATTCCCAAATAGGGGATCGTGATTCCCGGGGGGAGTAATTATTTTTCTCCGTG